AGAAAGTTATAGTGATCACCAAAAACTGGAGCTACCAAAATGTCCCTCAGTAGGGGACTAGATAAACAAATGATGATCCATCCATAAAATTGCAGACCAATTAATACTAACCAGTGAGCCATCAAGTCCCCACAATCCCCCCTGGGTAAATCATAATGAATGTTGCTAAGTGAAGCCTAAGAGGGCTACCGATGGAACGATTTCCATCACATGACATCATCCTAGAAGGCAAATTCTGAAAGAGGCAAAACTACAGAGTGTACAAAGATCAGTGGGTGGCAGGGGCTTAGGGAGTGAAGGGGTTGGGATGAAGAGGTGGCTCTCAGGGAATTTTTGGTGCAGCGAAACTTGTATTTTACTGCAATAGTAGATATTTGACATTATGTGTTTGTCACAATCCCCAGAAGTGTACAATGCAGCGTGAACCCTGATGCAAACTTTGTACTTGAGCTACTAAAAAGAGCACTTAGAGAGAGGTTCATTTCTGCCTTCGGTTAGTTCAGGAAACTTCCACTGTGTGCTGTCATGCTAGCGCTGTTCCAGGGTCTGGTAGTAGGGAAGTAAACAAAGTCAAGCCCCTGTTCCCAGTGGATTTTCTGCCATAGTTGAGGAGACAGATAAAAACCAAGTGATGCCTCAGTGTGCTCAGTGACAGCAAGTAAAACAGGAAAGTCAGACAGAGAGAGGTGGGGTGGGGGTGGGAGGTGGGGAGAAAGGAAAGGGAGCATTGCTGCTCTGCACGGTGCTAAGGAAGCCTTAGTTCTTAAGAGTGACTCATCAGTAGGTTTTTAGAGAAAGTCAGGGAGTAAGCCCATTGGATGTCTGGAGAAGAGATTTCTGGAGAGATCGAATGGTAAGTGGAGAGGTCCTGAGCTTGGGGTGTGCTGTAGAGACAGTAAAGGGCCAGTGTGTGCAGAGGAAAAGAGCAGATGGGGATGGAATGAGGGGAGCCATTGAGGGCAGGTGACAGCCCTACCCCAAAAGAGATGACATCTGTCAACTTTTTTCTAACATAAAAATCTACTTGCCTTCAAATATTTATTCTATTTTCAGGCTTATGCAACTCAGAATTCTCAGCCTCTATCATATCTTTAGTTTCAATAGTTTCAACCAGAGAGTCCCCCTTAAAATTGTAAGCTACAATCATAAAATAGATCCAACAGCGCTCATTTACAAGGAATAGAATAGATGAGTGTGATTAATCTGTAGCTAATAACTGTGACTCATGTTTACGATATTCCATGCACTTAGTTAAGTGCTTTTCATTTCATTTATTACCTATAATAACTGAGTAGTTATTACCACATTAAGCAAATATGGAAGCTGAGGCACATGCATTTAGGCAATTTGCCCAACCACTGCTGGTGATACTTACTACCTGATGGAGAAATCCTTAAAGTCACCACAAACCAGGCCATCTGACTCTCAAACCCAGAGCCAGACTGATCTGCTTTTTTGACAGTGCTATCACAGCAATGAGAGTCAGCAAGTCAGGGGAGACGGGCTTTTCAAGGCCAGGAGGAGACAGAAAGGTTTAGGCTATGGGAGCTGGTCGAGACCTGGTGAGGAAGGGAGCCAAAATGTTACAGGGCAGGGAGAGGGGCACCCCAGACCCCCCAAACCTGCCTACTCTAAAGTTTCTGCCATCCACCGCATCAACACAAAACATATGAGACCTTAATCAGAAGGAACTTTAATACAATTAGGACACAATACAGGAAAGGCAAAGAATCTAGTTTCTAAATCAAGTACCCAAAGTTACCCGTCCCCTCGTGGGTAAAAGTCCACCCAAGCAGGATTGGTCCAGAGCAAGGCCCCAAAGCCTGCCCCAAGTCTAAAGCACCTTCCATTGGGGACCCACAGAAAAGGATCAGAAACAACCAGACAAGTCTGGGAGGAAAAGAGCAAAATCAAAATCAAGACAAAAACCGCCATTGTCACCTCCCCACGGGTCCCTCACCCATATCTATGTCACACCATCCATGACCACAAGGCAAATGTAGTTTCTTCATGTGTCTCTCTGCTCCATGTGCCTCCTCCAGGGCTCCTACTGGCTCCATCCTCCTTCCTTCCTACCTCAGCTTCTTCTCTCTCCACTTAGCAACACCCTCCTTTGGGTGGGGCAGGAAACCTGGAACCTCCCCTTTCCCTGGGGACGCCCTGTTACAAAAAGAGCTCAGCAGAGTCAGAGCTCAGCAGGTGGATCCCAAGTCATGAATAGCCAGAATGCAAGAAAACAGGGATGTTGATATTTATATGGCCTCTTTAAGGCATAACCAATTAATTTCAAAATTAAGTAAGCCTTGGGGACACTAATATTCCAATGCTTTTAAGCTTGATATTACATTTATTAACTGTTCATTCTTTATAGCTTAAGGAGGAAGGTTATGTTTGACAAATTTTAAATTATCTGGATGACATGATTAATATACTAATATGTGCTCTGTAGTAACAGTGTTTTAAACCTAATGTTGGTGTGAGAGAGTAGTGAATTTTAATGCACTGGAGAATAAGAAGAACCAAAAGAACATTGCATAGGCAATTCATCATAATAAATTTTAAATTTGATATGAGATATGTAACTACATTGACAGAGCACGGTTTGCTGTGTGGGTTTCATCCGGGGCGGCTGAAGGCTGCAATGAGGGAGAAAACTGTGTGATCTGCTCGGGCTGCTCTAACAACAGACTGTAGGCTAGATGGAATAACCAGCAGAAATTTGTTTTTGCATGGTCTGAGGCTAGAAGTCCAAGTTCAAGGTGCCTTCAGGGTTGTTTCTGGTGAGATCATTATTTCGGAGTTGTAGATGGCTGCCTCCTTGCTGTGTCCTGTCATGAGTCCCTCTCTGCACATACAGGGAGGGATCGCTGTGTCTGTTCCTCTTCTTAGAAGAACACCATTTCTAACAGATCATGATCTCATGCAAACTTAATCACTTCCCTAATGGTCCTAACTCCAGATATAGGCACCTGAGGGTCTCTGGCTTCCACACATGAATTTGGGGCAGGGACACAATTTAGTCTATAACACAGCCAATCCCAGGCTGAAATCAAGACTGGCCCTGGGCGATGGAGTGCTTGGGAGCCATGCCCTGGGCTGCTCTGTGTGGGTTTGAATCCAGTTCTGCAGAGGACAGAGCTCCTGACCCTTCCATTCTAAAACATACTTTCTTGGGCTTCCAAATGGGGCTGTTAATAACAGCAATTACCTCACAGGATTGTTATGAAGACTGAATGAATGAAAGCATGAAAAGCACATAGCAGAGCCTGGAACTGAGATGGGCTCGGGAAATGCCAGTTATTGTAGTGTCATTTTAGTTAGATGGGTTTTAGTTTTTGGCCAAATTAGACAATGAGTTACATACAAGAGTGAAAAAAAAAATCACGAAGATTTTCACAGGCAGGTGGAATTGAAGTTAGAGATATAAGAAAGATCTTAAGGGACAGAGAAATTATTTAAAGCATAAAGGTCAACTTGTTTACCTCCTTGTTCCTAAGAAGTGATTGAATGAATTGTTAAAATAATGTGAAAAAAAGATTTTGTTCTTTGGTGCTTGTTTGAAAAATGTCAACCTTATAAAGAATCTACAAGGATGCAATGACAATCCATAAATTATATCATGAAATATGCAAACTGAGGCCGGTATTTAAAAGTGTTAAATTCTAGGGAACTTTTCTCATGAAGATTGTATATTAGTTGTAATTTTTCACGAGGACTATAAAATTACAACAGATGTAGAAACAAAATAGAAAAACTAAAGGCATGGTATTATAAAATGATTTCTGATTTTATTAAATCATAGTAGGTTTCTTTAACAACACAAATGAAACAGCTCTTAAGAACCTCCTGGGATTATGAAATCCCCAGGAAAGAAATACATAAATTATAATACACATGATGATTCACATAATATATATAACTAAATAAATCGGTTAGAAGGAATTATATAAATTACTCATCAGAGATTTAAGGTTCTGATTAGGAAGACCTTATTGTGTCATACATGGGTATTAGTAGTATGCAGCAGCTTAAAATAAATTGTTCCCCAAATTCAGTAGCTTAAAACAGTAATAAATATTTATCACCTCATACAGTTTCGGTGGGTCAGTGATTTAGGTGTGGCTGGCTTGAAATTTTTTACTCAGTTTTAGCCACCGTAAGTCATCTGAAGGTTTGGCTAGGCCCAGGGATCTCCAAGACCACAGAAGGAAGCAGACAGAATCAGGAGTCCTAGAGCCCAATGGGGTGAGTCTGCTGGTGTGTGGAGCTGTAACAGGATAAGTCCCTGCCCCTTTACTTACCACTTTCTCTTCTTCCCATGATGTTCTCACTGTGTCAGTCTTTCTCTGTGGCTTGACCATGCTGAGCACTGTCCTGCGTCAGGCATTCCATTTTGCTTTTCTTGTGGCCGGGATCTGTGGTAAAGGGGAGAGATCTTTCAGATACCCATATGGTTACCTCAGTTCAGTCAGGCCTTTCCTCAAATGTTCTTTCTCAGAGACTTCACCACTAAATACCCACATAACAAAGATTTATCCTCACTATCTTCGTGCCCCGGTTTATATCTATATCTATGGCATTAGTCAGGATTTTACAGAGGAACAGAACCAAGTATACAAATGTATGTATGTCTGTCTCATGAAAGATTTTTGGGGTTTCAGTCCAAATTCATTTCCTGAGAAGCAGGAGATTTATGTCCCAACTGAAATAGGCAGGAAGGACCCAATTCTTCCTTCTATTTTTTGTTCTTTTAGACCCTCAACAAATTGATTGATACCCATTTGGGGAGGGCAAACTACTTTAATGAATTAATTGAGCAAATGCTAATTTCATCTGGAAACAGACACATATACATGCATTTGTCTGCTGTCTACCTCCCGCAAGTATGCACTCAGTGCCCTCAAGATGGCCATGGACTTTGTGTTTTGTTCATCCAGATATAGGAATGCTTGACACATAACAGCTGTCCAAAAATGTTTGTTGAATATGTGAATGATCCATTCCACAGCTACTGGTCTGCCACGGTTATTGTGGTAGCAATTATGGTATTCCTCTGTGGGAAAGAGCCTGTTACAAGGCTAAACACCTCTGAACAAAACACCAAGTGGTAATATCTGTGACATACAAGATGTAATCTGTAGTTTTGCTTGCCAAAGGAGATGATGATCTGTTATAAAACAAATGGGGATTTGTTAAATCTCTTGGCCTCGGGTAGAAAAACAAAATCGAGCATCTGAGTTAAAAAAAAAAATCTCTAAAAAGTTAGCATATTTTATAATTATTTTTGGTGGGAACAATAAAATTAATCTGCTACTAGATTAGATTCTTATTATTTGTTCCTTGCGGTTAAAATCAGGACCTCATAACCTAGGGATTACAGAAAAAGATAAGATGACAAAAAGCTATTGTTAAAGAGCTTACAAACTGGAAAAAAGAGAAAGAATATTTATTGTTGATTTTTATACTGGCAAGTACCATTACCTGTACTTTAACACTAAACTATACTAGAATCCTCACACACCAGGCTAAAGTAATTATTGAAAAAAAGATTATAAGGCTAAAGAAACTAACAAAAATTGAATAGTGACTGGAAATGGTACTTTAATTTTATTCTGAGTTCTTTGAAAATATTTTCTTTTTATTCACATAACCATTTTCTGAGTGGAAAGAAAAAAATGTGCCAAATTAATTAAAATATTATTTTACCACAGTTTCATTCATTTTACTTAGTACAGTACTAATTTTTCTCAGTCTACAGTATTCTTCTTCTTTGGACTGTGCTCTCTTCTTAGTAACGCTATATTTCTTACCCCCTGGCTGTTCTAAGAGCTAGTGGAGCATGAAGATGCAGAAAATTTTAAGTTGTGAGCTCATTAAAGCCATTCTCAGAAGGTTGATTGCATAAAGTCACCAGTGCAGGTAATGGCTAATTTTCCAGAAATCCGAGGAGAGGGTGTTGTCAGGAGAGAAGATGTTTCTGACCTCAGCCACTCCAGGAAGTCCCATTTCCAACAAGGACTGTCATGAGAGATTTTCAGAGAAAACGAGGCAGCTCTAACACACAGGAAGCATTTTTCCACCTTCTCCGAGATTCAGGGCCACAGGTGGAAATGCTTTTTTTATTAGCATCGCTGTTGAAAGGCCCAGAATCATTTCAAGTCAAGATGAAGCTCTCGGAGCATCCTGGGGCAGCTGGTTTCATAAAATTCTCCATTTTACTAGTGAAATTGTTTAATTAAAAATACATTTCACTTGCTTTCTCCCAGTCAATAGGTATGACAAGACCATATCATCACAGCACTAAAGACATATATGTCTCCTGGTTTAATGCTGCGTAGGTTATTATGAGAGAAAGCACCATCCATTCTGTACATGTTTGTTCGAGCCTCTCTGCCACTTCTTGGCAGATGGAACAGGAAGACCAGCCATGACAAATGGTATTATATTTGTTCCTTTATCTGTCTCAAATTTTTTCTATTTGATTTTTTCCTCATTTCTGTTTTTTTATCATTGAATCCAAATGTAAAAAATCCTATTTTGTTGCTGTTCCATGAGCATCTGAATGTTTAGCTCTTTGTTTAGGATTACTGTAGTTACAAAAGAGATCTTGACACCATCTTTCCTGCTAGCCTGTAATATCACATGCTCACAGGCAAGGATCAGAGGAAAATACCAGAAAGTAAGTGGATGTGAGGCAAAGTAATCACTATGGTGAATAGATTTTTCACAAAAGGTAATATATCTGTGAGTTAAATATGGACTGACATAGTTCTGTATAGTTTTATTGAGGTCTGAGAACTTGAAAAAAGCCTTGAATTGTAGCCTGTAAGTTATTGATATTGACAAGTTATTGATATTGATAATGTTCAGCTCTACTATTTTATATATCTCATTTGAGTCTCACCAAAATACTTTGTGTTATTTAGAGATAGTCATAGTTATTTTGAATATTGTCTTGCAAAGAAGTTAAATCGTTTGCATGAGTTAATAAATGACAGAACTAGAATTCAAACCTTGCACTCTTGTGTCCAAATGCTGTATTCTTTCCACTGTACAGAAGTGAAAAGTAGAATTAGGTGATGCGTTGAGGAAGCCAGCAGAGAGGTAGAAACAATCATCACAAGCAAATTATGAAGTGGCTAAAATAAGGTGCTATGCTGTGCATCAGGGCAATATGATAACAACACTAAAACATGTTTATGCAAAATCTGTAATAAACCATCCTTTATCCAAAATGACCTGTTTCAGATTGTCAAGGTTTGCAAATTTAGGTTAGGTTGTCTAAGTTCGTTAACAACACCCAACTCATGTACTAAGAGAGTAAAACCATGATGATGTCATTGGACTGTATGTGACAAGCTGCATGAGCCTGTCACTAGCTAGACAGCAGGGCATCAGCAATGGGTCACTTACAGCCAAGTGGGTAAGAACTGAAAAGGAAGGACAGACTGGTCCTGTCTGTCCCTAAGGTGGTGAAGGCACACAAGGGGGCACACCAGCTTGTCCTCAAAAGACTTACCATTTAGAGAAATGAAAATAAAAGGCTTTTAGGAATGTTCAGGAAAAGTCTTCTCAGGGTGTGACAACAGGCTCCAGGACTGTCAGGTCCTGTGGGGATAGGGAAATGCTCAGTATTCAGGGCCACTGTTTCATTCTGGGAGCGCAAACCTTCTGTGAGCCACTTTTGCTCTTAGTGATGCCAGTCTGGAGACTAAAGGGCTTTGTCCCTGCCCCTGGCCTTGTGCTCAGTTTCTCATCCACATGCCCCGGATCGCTGTGGCTCCCCTACCCAGTTCCTCGTGGCCCATTTCCTCCCTGGTCAATGTTCTTTGATGGGGTATAGTGGAGTGTCCACAGGAGTAACACTTCTGATCTATATCCTTGGCAAAGCTACTCTTTCCCTTATCCATTATTTTCATTTCTCCTTAAAGGTGGGTTCTCATGTGTAGGGTAAAGAAAATGTCAGGCTTTTCTGCCCTTCCGCCATCAGGATAGATGATGGATCCTTGTCCTGTATGCATGCCTGATGGCGGGCACCTGGAATAGGGTGTGGGCATAGGTAGATGGGATTCAGCTGGGCTAAGACTGTGCTTTTAAGGGCGACGTCACGGGGACGCCAGCAGCAGCAGCAGCAGCAGTAGAAGCCGAAGCAGAAGCTGAGAAGCAGCAGAACGAACGCCAGAGAGCTCAGATAGAGTAAAGATTTGCTGGGGGCTGGGAGGCCAGCCCCCCAGTCAGCACCCCTGCCTGCCATATGCCTGGTGAACCCCAATAAAAGACCTGCAAAAACCCACTAAGGACTCTGACTCCTCCTTTACCCGGTCTGCATGGGATCAGAAAACCTGCTCAGTGTCCATTCCTGCCCTCTACACTCATGTTTTTCAAATTAGTTGGAGAAACAGAATCATCATCTAAAGTATAATCTGCTTGTTCTGTGCTCATGTTCCCTGCTGATTTTAAGTGGCTGCCTACTTTATCTATTCCTGCTTTGTCAGATGGATAAAATATGCAAAAGAAAATACTTTTTTAAAAAAAATATGAAAAAAATTCCAAGTCTTTTGAATAATCCTTGACATGTAACTATTTCTTCATGTTAACTATTGTTTTTTAAACTATTTTTATAAAAATACTATTTTTATTTTTATTTATTTTTAAACTATTGTTTTTTAAAATCTCATCCTAGGTATGCTAGGGTTTATTACTTACCAGCAATTAACACTTTAAAATTCCAGTGGAAGTTCAAGGTCATGATAAATTCCTGTCCTTGGTCCTTTTAGCTAGGTCCAATGGACCTGCTTTTTCTGTCCCAATATTTCTTATTTGGCTGAGCCTGCCACAAAATAAACCCTTATTCTCATGCAAAACCAGGGAAATTAGGAAGCTAGGAATTCTCAACGTTTTTTAAATAAGACTAGATTGCAATCTCTCCAGACAAATCTTACAGTATAAGCCGTAGCAGGTCTGCCCTAACAGTGCTCTTACGGAATAAGGGTTAATGATCTAAATAGAATTTGGAAAGAGAAAAAGCTCAGGAGAATTTTACTGGGGGAGAGAACAGATGGGGTCACAGAGCCATGACAAGTTTAAGGGCAGTGAGTCTGTGGGTGGAAGATTAGATAAAGAAGCAAGCCGAGCTCACGCATAAAGAACTTAGTGGTTTCCTATTTTAGAGTTTGTAAAGTTTTAAAATGATGTGATAGAGGAAATGCAGTCTTTAATAAAACCTTTTTTTCCCCCGATATCTCGGTCATATTTCATTATATTTCTTTACTGTGGTAACATTTGTTTACAACATTGTACATGATTTAGGGGAACAAGGTATAGGGGATCCTCAGATTCAGTCACATTTCAATGACAGCTGTCCCAAGATAAAGTTTCACTATTTGATTTTTTTCCTCATTTCTTTTTTTTTATCATTGAATCCAAATGTAAAAATTCCTATTTTGTTGCTGTTCATGAGGACCTGAATATCTGCTCTTTGTTTAGGATTATATCATTAAAGGTAAGTATATACATACATAAATACATGGAGTAATATCTCAAACATTCAGAATATAGTATTCTTATCAAGTAATATCATGGTGGTTTTTTAAGAGTTTCTGATTATGGTAATAAACGAACGACTGAATGTTATCTTCAGAAGCTTTCCAGAAGGCTACTGTAACCTCAGGCATCTGTTCAGAGTACTGTGTTAAGCATAGATGTATATATTACTGAGGCAAAAGGCAGTATGTGGCATATTCAGCACAAAGTTGGTTACAGAAAGTTGGATATAAGTCTAACGAGTACATGTATGAGAAACTCGGGGATTTATACTTTAGAATAAAGCTGCCCTAAGGGGAAAAAAATATAACAGATTTTTAGTTTGTCAAGTGTTTGAGCTGTGCAAAAGCAAGGCCAAAATAATTGCATAATCTTAAATAAGCATAAATCCAGTAGAGGGACTAATTATTTCCTACTAGGATGCTTCCAAAGTGAGTAATTTGATTTTGTTTAAAGCTTAGTTTAGGTTCAGGATTTTGTCCATAGTTTGCTTATTAGTTGTAGTTTTAACAGCAAGATATAATTGAAGATCAAATTAATAATTTCTTGTATGTCTTATATTTTTTTGTTAGTCATGAATCTTTCT